AATGCTTATGTTGGAGGCAGTGGTGGAGCCAGAATTTTTTTTCTTTTGGGGACACAAATCATTGATTTAAAAAAACTTTCAACCTTTTTCATCCGGGCTTGGAACCAAAATTGACAATTTTAATAAAATTTTTAAAGGCAGTCAATTTAAAATATCTCTCCATATCTAATATAAATGAAAATTATATAATAAATTTAATACTAAATTATTTGATTTCATCATATCAAAACACGATGTTTAAAAAATAAAAACTTACTCGAAGATCCACTCAACACCACACATGACCCATCAACTCGAATTTATTTATTTCACTTTAAAAAACTTCCTCTGAAAAATAAAATAAAATATGGCGATCAATTTAATTCAATATCAAGTATTTTAACTTAGATTATACATAATAATATGATTAATTATTGATACATAATTATCAATTTTACCACTTATAAAATACAAATTTATTAATATTGTCGTTGGAATCCTAAAAAAGGGTATATATTATCAATGCCACTAATTAAAACTACCATTCTATTTTTATCTCAAAGAAATAGAGAGGGGGAGAGAGAGAGAGAGAGACCTATGAGCCAATGGAGGAATTGTAGGTAGTGAGACCTTGGCAAGAAAAAAATTCTGAGGCACAAGAGGAGGTGGAGGCAGAGGCGAGATGTTTAATTTTAATTAGGTTTAGGAGAGAGATTTTTTAATATATTTATATTAATTTATGTTAAATGGACCATAGCACATTTGTTAGACTAGTGGGGACTCGTGCCCTCATGTCCCATTGTGGATCCGCTAAAGGTTGGAGGGGTAGGGATGACCAAAGTAGACCTCTATAAACTATCCTTTATCATGTAGGCCTCCTTCCTTCATTGGAAGTCCTCCAAAGATTTGTTTAGTCTTACAAAAAGAAGCCCTTTTATTGGGTGGAAAAAAACATAAAACACCACACTCAAAATTTAAGAGAACAACTAAACTTCATTCATTTAAAGATAAAACTATAGAAGACACAATGGGGGCGTATATAGCGGTGCCAATGCAAACCTAAAAGTCATGGATAGTGTGGTTAGCAATGCATGAGAAAGAGAAAAAGGGAAATAAATCAAGGAATATAGAGTTTGAAGAGTTATTTGTAGGATTTTAAGGGGTCATATGAGTTTCCATGGTCAAATGCGTAATGAAGAGGGAAATACAATGAGTTGTCATAAACTAACAAGAGCGAAAGTGGAGTGAATAATTGGGTGTTCTAGTCAAAGATGATGTGAAGTTCATCTAATGAGGTAGAGGTTAAATAGTAGTTAAATAATCATAAAAAATAGCTAAAAAGGGGTTAGATGGTCATGATCCAACTTGGGTTCTACTATCAATACATACATAAGGACCATGTGATTCAAGACATTAATACAACACAACAATTATGATAATGACCCAACAAATACATCACATAAGGGTTAAAAATAAAAATATATAATAAAGAAAGAGAAAATATGACATCACTTCCTAAGTGCACAAGAAATAGACTAAATAACTACGTCTTTGAACTCTCGGGTAATGAGTTTGAATATGCTCATCATCAATATAATTAGTGGTTTAGGTGGTAAACCAACATACACGAGGAATCGAATTAAACCAAAAAAAGTCTTGAAACTAGAAAATCATAGCGAACCAATCAAATTAGTAAAAAATGGAAATAGTGAATCATAGTGAACAAATTAAATTAGCATAAAAGAGAATGTAGTCCATTATTTATATGGATAATCATCACATGAATATTTTTTATTGAAATCAGAAACTATGAAATAGAAAATTTAAAGTAAACCAAAGTTACAAAAACATGGTATATGGAAAGATCGAAATATCTCATGGAAGTCACCCTAAGAGAAATGCAACATTAGACGGCATAATGAAGCACCCATGATAAATGAAAAATATTTCATGTTTCTATTAGCATAGAAAAATACCAAATTAGGAAAGTATTATATATTTAGTGAGTGGTGTAATTTTATTTAATTTTACCTTAGACCATGTACTCCTTCCTCTAATATACATAGAGGGGGTGAACATGTGAATATGATAAAAATATAAAGAACTTTACCTCATGTCATCCTGCTATCCTATCAATCATGTAAATTCAATAACATTTTAACAATCTCTACTTTTTATCCCAATAGACTAAATTCCTATTTACACTGATGGTATTTGGTTATATAGCATTTATACATGGTTTTCACTAGCACAAGAAGCTTTCTCCTTATATCATTTGGTGTATATGTCTCAAATATTCTAGTACCAAAAATGATATAGATCTTATAATCCCTTTAACAAACCATTATAAATTTCTTTCATAAGACCACACCTTTGTTTAATCCCTACGCATCCACAAATTCAACACTCAATCTTCCTCTATAAGCTTATATACTTTCTTTTACCCCTCCAAAGGTTTAATCATGACAACCTCGAGCATCTTCCACCACAATCCTCACCCATATAGTTAGATTCAACTAAGCATGAACTTGTCGATTAACTCTTTGATCTACATTTTCCTATTGGCCTATGAAAAGGTAAAAGGAAATGTACTACTCATCCCAATTACTTTTATACATCATTTAATCATTTATCTTCAACCATATCTATGACATTAAAAAAGGAAGCACTATAGAATCTTTTATAGAAATAAGTTATAAATGCTAAGATGAGTGCTCTATTCGATTGTCATTTATGTGATTTGGTTGTTCACAGTCTAGGGTTAAACTAATTATTTACCAATGGATGTTTACCATAGGATTTCATCAGGATGACTTGATCAATTGGTTAAAAGTGTAGTTAGATGTCGAAGGATTCACATGAGTCTATGGGATAGATATTTTCACATATACTCCCTAGTTATTAACCTTAACTCTATTGAGATTCTTTTATCATTGTTGATCAATCAAGGATAATTATGTTACAAGTGAATTTAAGTAATGCCTTCATCTATAAAGATCTTAATGAGGTAGTATATAGTGCAACTACCTAGGTATGCTACTCAATGGGAGAATTGCATGACTACTCAAGTAGAATATTTGTGGGCTTAAACAAATCCGTAAGCATTTAAAAAATTTTGCATAGTTCTTAGGGGATTGGCTTTCACAATAGCACCAAAAATCATTCAATCTTCAACAGGCATACATCTTCAGACTCAATCATGTTGACTATTTATGTTGATATCTTACTCACTAGGAGAGATCAAAATGCATCTTTGAGATTAAACAATATTTGCAAATATGTTTGATAACTAAAAATTTAGGAATGCCAAAAAATTTAATTGGTGTTCAATTTTCCAACAATAAAAAAAGTATTTTTCTCTCATAAGAAATATGCTATATATCTTTTTGAAAATACTAACATGTTAGGTTGTAAATATGTTGATACTCTTATGAATACTTATAAAGTTATAATACTTCTAAAAAGAAAACCTTTGATGATCCATCTTGGAATCAAAGTTTTGTCAGGAAATTATCACTATACATGATGTTTCATTAATCATAATAATTGTGAGCCAACACATGCACACTCCAAAACAATAGCCCAGCAAAGTTGTTCTACGCATTCTCAAGTATATCATAACTTCTCCTATAAAAGGGCTACTAAAAACTAAGATTAGCAATTAGATATATAAGCATTCTTAAATGTCGATTAAACTGTTACTTCTGGATATTAAACTTTTAATGGAGGTAACTTGCTCACCTAAAAAAAGTAAGAAACAAGCTATTGCGTCTAGATCCAATGTTCATGTTGTGTACAAAGTTATACCTCATTTTGCATGCAAATTTATGTGATTAAAAACCCTCACAGGGGAGTTTGGTTTTGCAATTATGCTGCCTGTTGTTCTATGCTGTGACAATCATATTGTCATCTACAATCCAAGAACCTTTAGATTTAATGAAAGAACCAAACATATCAAGGTTGATTATCATTTCATTTGGGATGTTGTATTTCCTAAAAAGAATGTCACTCCTCACAACTTAAATTTAAAATAAGTCCCTAGAAATTTTACAAAAGCTTTGGACCCTCTAGCTTTCTCGTGATTATGTAACAAATTGAAGCTAATTGCTATTTATTTTCTAATTTGAAGGAGAGTGTTAGTGTTGGAAAATATAAATCTACAAAAATACTATATATTCAGTTAGTAGTGTGCATTTATTTGGTTAATGGTTATCCCTTAGAACAATCATTCATATTTTATAAATAAGGGGATCTCTAGTAAATAGGATACACAAAAAGAACTTTCTCCTCTAATAGTTTCCATTTGGATTTACCAATATTTGCCCTCTATAATGCAATAACCTTTAGATTTGATGAAAGAACCAAACATATTAAGATTGATTATAATTTCATTTAGGAGATGGTTTCTAAGAAGAATGTCACTCCGCAACTCCAATTCAGAATAAGTGTCTAATAATTTTACAAAATCTTTGGACCTTCTAGCTTTCTTATGATTATGAGACAAGTTGAAGTTAATTGATATATATTTTCTAAGTTGAAGAGGAGTGTTAGTGTTGGAAAATATAAAACTACCAAAATACTAAATATTTAGTGAGTGATGTATATTTATTTGGTTAAGCATTATACCTTAAAATAATCGCTCATGTTTTACAAATATAGAGGTTCTCTAGTAATTAAGATACAACAAAAAGAAATCTCCCCTCTAGTAGTTTCCATTTGGATTTAACAACAGTTATCCTCATCAGACAAATAAAATATTCAGTTTGATGATTTTCTGAACAAATTACCACGTTAAAAGAAGAAGAATTAAACTACAGCACGATACATAAATTCAGAAAGAACCAATATCAAGCACATTCGAAGACAAGGTGTTATTAGAAAGAAATAGAAGCTAATTCAAAAGGAGAGAACAAGCAAAAGCATCTCTGCAGCACACGAATCGGCAAACAGTATTCTCTCTTGTTTTAACACCGTAATAGAGAGTAGATTAGTCCTAAAATTTTCAAGGAATCGATTGTCTTACTTCTGTATCTGAAGAATTAGCTGCCGCGACGCAGATCATTCCCCGTTTTCGGGCGATAACCTTCGCCCTTGGACAAATCCCCATCCTCAAAATACGATGGCCGGTTCCGGCTGTTATTGCTTCCCTGAAGCACAGCGATGGAATCGCCGCACTGCAAATCTTCGACGATTTAAGCCTCACATTGAAAGCGTAAGAGGCAAAGCTCCCCTGAAATCATAAAGAATAGTGAGCTAAGCTGGTCCAGAGGTGAAATACTTTCTTTCTCCCAAATGCACGAGTGAATGACCTGCAGCGCGGAAGCAGAGACCAAAGATGCCATGGCGGCGGAGGAGAAGATGAGCGTATATTCTATTCGGGTGAAGGGAAAGATAGCTAGCTGGGATTCCTGGCTGGTGATCTCTGCAGGGAGAAGTTGCAGAGAAGTAATCGGAAAAATTAAAGGGGAATTTACATAAATATCACTTTATGAAATAGTGGACAATAAATTTGTGATGAAATAATATCATGTATGAAATATTAAATTAAATTATTATTCTATAAGTTAAATATTGGATTATTAAAATTATCTAAAAGTCTACTCTTTAATTTGTTTTAAATATTGAACAAGAAAATAATTAATTATAGGAATTAAAATTTATACTTTTTTCCAATAAAAAAATAAATCATTAATCATTGGATAAATCAGAGCATTAGGAAACTACATCATTAATTTTTCATATAATGTCACCATGATGAAAAAAAATTTTAGTTATATATATTTATTCAAGTAAATCCAATTAGTTTTAGAAAAAATAATCTAAATTTGTAATTACTATTATTGCATAAATATGCTTTTTTTCATAATGTCATATATAATATCAAGCTTATATGAATGGAATATTTATAAAGAGTTGTAAACATAGCATAATTATCAATGTTGTTATACATACATACATACATATATATATATATTTATATATCATATAAATATTTTGAGTTGAATTATTTTTTATGACACTCAAGAAGAATAAGAAGAAGATAAGTGTTGATACGTCACCAAAAAATCACTTTGATCGAGCACGAATATCAATGCAAATCTGAAGTAAAAAAATTCAAAAATTGAATTGAGGTCTGTCCAAACTTTGATTTTAGCAAACCTATAGTCAAATTGAACATCTTAAGGAGACAAAATCAACAACGCTAAACTCGGTCCAATCTGAGCCCAAATAGGCTCAAATCAAAGGACCAAAATGTATATGAAGGCTTCAAAGTATTAATTGGGTGAACAAATGATATCCAAATATAACATTCCAATAGTTGAATCAAGCGGCTCTACAAGATGAATCCAACGAGCCAAAGATAGCTTAATTCCAACATCATTATGATATATAAACATTTGAAGAACACTCCATGATTAAGGGAATTGATATCATACATCTGATGGAACATTCCAAATTCACCCTAGATCTTCTCTATATTTATTAAGCATGTCACTCCCAAAAAACTATAAATAGATCCTCATTCTTCACATGAAGGGAAGGAAGAAAGAGAGGAAAAAATTAGGAAGCTATATTGCATTCTCCAACCAGTGCTATCATCGTTGAATCTCTTTTCAAACACTGATCATCGTCAGACTTTTGTCTTGTTTGTTTACTTTTTTTGTGTGTGTTTTAGGAAAATTTGAATATAGACTTTTAGATTTTTGATTCTAAAATCGAACACGTTATTAAGAATCATATATCACATCGAGAGGTGAGAATAATATTCTCTAATTGGTTCAAATTATAAAATTATAAATTTCATTCATACTATTTTAGTCAAATTTAAGAAGGAACTACATATGATCCTGAAGGATCAAAACATTATTCGATCATGTATTTAGCTACAATAATCTAGATGTATTATTATTAATTTCATAATCAAAGTAATAATAAATTATATATCTTTCCAAAGAAAGAAAATAATTTTTATTATTAACCATTTGAATATGATGATAATGATTATTATTTAATTTTAATTTTTCCCAAAAAAGGATGACTCTTCCCCATCCTATTTATGAGCTAAATGGAATGAGGTTTAATTTATCTGGGATCTTAAGTCGCCTATAAATGAAAGCCCTTGTAGTTAATTACATCATAAAAAAATTAAGCTTTCCTAAGGATACTATTTATTAAAATAAAGGCAGAAATTTTATTTTAATTTTTTTAGGAGTGATATGAAGGGACTGATGTTGTAATTTTAATCGGGATTGAATCAATTTTTTAGCACTTATTTTGGAGGCCAAAGGATGAGAAATAGGAGGCATTTTGATATTATAAAATAATTCAGAAATGCCTCAATATATCCTATGTTGGCTTTAAATTTTGGAGGAGAAAAAATTTTAAGTTTGAGTTGATACTTTATTAGAATTTTGGATTAAATACTTGATGTTGGGGACTTAAGATTTTAAGTATGCCCTAGAACCTAAATCTAAGTTAGATCATTATATATAAATAACTCAAACCTAACTAATAATATGAAATTCTAAGCTTACATCAGCTTGGATTGGAAAGCTAACTAAATCACCTAAGCACTTTAAAATAATGAATTTGGTCTTATGAAAGATAGGTAAGGCTTATTATTTAAGTTTTTAATAATTTGGGGCCGACATCTAAAGAATTTTTTAAATGGCTCCTTTACTTATGTATGGTGATTATGCTCAATGTAATTATATCTTAATTAATTTTAATTTGTTTCTAATATAATGCATGCAAATTAACATTTATTCAATGAATTGTATGCTTTGAATTTTAAAAAATAGGCTTAGAAAATAGGTTTTTCCTTAGAGATGCGCAACATCCCTTAGACAGAAATGCACCCTAATAGGTCAAGTGGTCTGCCACAACCCACAGACGACTAAACCCTAAACAAGGAGAGAAGATAGGTATGTATGCTTGAAAAATCGCCAGCATGACTGGGCATACTTCTTAGAAACATTTATCTTTCTATGTGAGTTTAAAAAAAAAATTAATAACAAGTAAAGAATTTTTTTATTCGTAAGAACCTAACAAAATCCAGGTTAAAATATATTTCACATGCAAGTAATAAACCTTGAAAAATATGTAATTTTTATAACGTGTAATTTAAATGAAATAATCAATCTTCAAATCATATCAAATGAATGTAAAAGGTCATGTGACAAATGTCACTTAATTACAAATCAGGGCCTACAAAAATTAAAAGCGGTTGAGCTCAACTAACAACATCCCAGATTCTACTTTTAGAGAATGTCACAAGTTTTAAATTAGAATATTTTAGTTTTCATTTCTTCAACTCCTTCCTTTGAGTTCCATGGATCCACTAGGTTCGGACATCCAAATGAAAAGAATTCCTTCCTAAAGAGGTGTTTTTTTTATGGTTGGATCCCAAGTTATCCAAATTTGGATCTCCAAATTGAACTCTCCCTTAATGAATTTTTTTTTCCTCTTTAGATTCCAAATTGGACATTAAATATCTCACTTTTATTAAATATCCGACTTTTCTTGGCTTTCACAACTCTTTTAAATTTAATTATGTATGAAAATTTAAAATAACTCTATACTCCATGCATGTTATCCTAGGAAAGTTATATGTAATCATTAAAAATTCCATGCAGTTATATTTATATTAATTGCTCACTTTTGAGCTAACTCATGCACTTGGACATGCTTTTAATTGTTAAGGTGTTTAGCAATTTTAACACATGAAAAAAATTTTATTAATCACATTATAATTAGCCCCATTTTTATAGCTCTACATAAGCATGATCACATACAGAAAACTTTATTAACATCCAAATCTCACCTAATTTAAAAAAATCTAGCTCCCGTCATATACCATATCATGAACATGGTAGTGAAAATATCATATCATAAACATCACAACCCACATCATAAACATCTCAAATCAAATCAAATCATAGCAACCAACTTACAAAAAAATTCGCATAAAAATCATGTCACAAAGAAAAGCATTCATAAAAGAATAACGGCCAAGCCTAGAGATAGAGTTGTTTATCTTAAAAAGTCATATATTATGTGTGTATCTAGCTGTGTGGTTTAGATATATCATAAATTAGTTGTTGTTTGAAGTTTTCTAATGCTTTACTTTAATTTTTTATAAGTTAATAAGAGTTTTAGTTTGAGTTTAAATTTGGTGTTTTAATGTTCATTTTAAAATAAGTTTTAAGTGTTAAAGTTAATTAATTATTTGTTTTCTAAAGTTCTTAATTTTAATTAAGTTTTCAGTCCTTAAGCCTTAAAATCTAATACCTTATGCTCTCAAATTAGAATCTACATAAGGTTCTTATTTATTAATGATTTATTATTAATTATTTAAGTTGTATAATAACTATATTTCTTTACATCAAGACCGTGAGATTTATTTCACTCTCATTGAGGTTAAATTAATATTCTCATAGGCCCAGGTTACCCAATAATTATTTTTAGATTTAAGTTTAATTTATTTGCTACATTAAGTTATCTAAATTTATAATTATCTTGTTAATGATTTATTAATATTATATGGTTTATGGTTTGTATTCCATCAAATTCATTTGTTATATTGTCACATGGACACGAGAACTAAGGCCTCCTTAAGACATGTAGCTCCCACAGCTCGAGGTAGACTAGTCTAAAAATTTTAATGATAGAATATTGGTTATTCATTCTATTGTTATATTCTGATTTAATTCATTAAAACGACGATTCATTGAAATTTAGATCATTTATTGAGTTTTGTATTTTTTGAATATTTAAATGCATTTAATAATGGGTCCATTTTTTTATTTTTTTTATTTTCATTAGTTTCTGGAGTTTTATATTTTTCATAAATATTAAACCCATAGATGAGTAAAATACCACTAAGTTTGCTAGATTTAGATTTTTTATAATTAGCTATGAATTTTACAAGTTTAGATGATTTCTCTTAGGGTTGTCAAAACGGGTTTTCAGGTCGGGTTTAAGTCCAAACCCAAAATGACCTGTCACTATTTGACACAACCCGAAGCCGACTCGATTCTAAAAATAGGTTAGAAAATAAAATCAAAATAAAGACTGTCAAAATCAAATCAATATAATAAATTTATGTAAAAATATACACATGTTATCTAGTCTCTATATCACGTACTCAATATATCACGAACATACATAATATCAGTACATTGAATTAGTAATATCAAATAGTATCAGTACCTATAATAGTAACAGTAAAGTGACACTAGTAGTAGAATAATACGATAATAGTGAATTCGCACAGTAATAATAAATTTGTACAATAATGAAAATAATGCCTCAGGAACATGCATTTCAGTAGTCACATTAAACAAGTAAAAAGTCATGGCTATCACTGTATTTTTTAGTGTTAGTAAACTGTTGACTAAGTAAATAGATTCATCACCCTTTGCCCATCGGTATAGTAATAATCTCTTTATAAATCTCAATCGGTGTATC